CCAGGGATGGAAGTGAGGCTGACCGGTCATGAGAGTATGCTATTCTGTGGCTGTTCACAGCTTCTCTGGCAGTTGAGAGCAACCTCTGGAAAATTCATGTGCATTTACAGTGTTTTGTCCTTTAGGTGCGTAGGTAAACAGAACACAGGATAGTCATACTCAGCCTGTCAGACAGGTTTTCTGAGTTGTGAATCAACGTGTAGGATTATGGTTATCCAGTCCAAGCACCTTAATTATTTTTCTTTAATTGTAGGTGCCTACTGAGTGAATGAACATGTTGGTGTCACAATTATCCTTAAACCAGATTAAAGTATTTTCTAGAGAAATGTCAAACATAACCTGTAGCAAGAATGTGTTAATAAGTGTTCAGGAAGGAAAATAAATATGGAGATGCTAATACATACTTGTTGACAACGGCAGGTAGCTGGGGTGACAATGTTTCATCTGGATGCCAGGAAGAGTATGGATGTGGAGTCTGAGAAGCAGCTCATCTGTCACCTCACACGAAACGGGTGTTCCCATCACTGACTTTTTCTTGGGCAGATTCTCTTAAGGCATAGTTTACCTGAGAAAGTTAAAGGGATTTTGTGTTGCCATTTATTGGAATATCAACTTATGCATTTGTTACACAGCTACTTCTTAATTAAATGCAAATGGACAGGGATTTACACACTATGGTACACTGCCTGAGAAAGAATTCACAGCTCCTGGAAGGCAGAGGTGGGAGCCAGACTCAGTTCTTCTAAGGTGTCTGCAAGCAAGCAGTGTGAAGAACTGGCCGTGAGCTCCTGCATGCAGGGAGGGGTGACTTAATAGAGTGTTCCTCTTCTGCTTTACGCACTAATTAAAGGTTCAGGAACTTAATCTTTTGGCTTAAGACAAGCAGAAAGCCCCAAAGTGGAGCGAGTAAGGTTGGAAAGATAAGTTTCCACACCTGTGTTTTTTGGGACTTCCTGAAAATCATCTTCATTTCTGGAAAGCAGACAATGTTGGCATTAGTGCGTACCTCCAGAAAATACCATGCACAAAATAGTAGCATGTTTCCAGGTTATGAAGAAAAATGACATGAATTTGGTAAGAGAATTACTACTTTAAATGAGAGAAAGAATTTATGGAGTTAAATGGATTATTCAGTAGTAATTAAAGATGGTTGCTGTATGCTTAATTTTCTCCCGTAAACTTAGGCTAGTACACTTTTATTTTGCTGATGAACAGGTGCACTCAAAATAATAATAATAATAATCAATTACCCTGAGTTTGCACAGAGATTTTTGTCAGTATCACTCCTGTTGCTCAAGGTAGCGTTTGTCCCTAGCATCCTTTTTTTCTTGTTTAATGGTGGAGTATCTGTTGGTTTATGCAAAACTAGTCATCTTGTATGAGAGGCTAAGTTGTTATGGGACTTGAAAAAACTGTGAACTAAGTACAGTAACTATTGTATTTTTTTAAAAAATATGTAAAATTATCATGAGACTTGAACACAGTCTTGTCGGGGTGATTTATTTTAGTCCTTATGTTGTTCTCCATCTGAGACACTTTATAATAGAGGTATGAGCTTCTGTCTTTCCTGATGGAAATCTGGATTCTGTTTTGATCATTTTGTTCAGCCGTATGGCTTAAACGGAATAAATGACATTTGGATTTGGATGTGTAGTATTGTTGTAATTCTACATCCTTGTTGACTGTAAGGAAAGGTGGTGTATTATTAATAATAATACAGACTTTAATGTAGGTATCTTACTACATTCACATTTTAGTATTTGTGTGTCAACTATACTTGATTTTAACATGTGTTTAATGAGATGTGGATGTTAAAATTTCAAAACTGCTTTAATTTGTAACAAATGTTTTTCAGCTCCCTTGGAAGTCACTGACTAGCATCGTTGAGTATTATTACATGTGGAAAACCACAGACAGATATGTGCAGCAGGTAATTTAATATTTCAGCATGAATCAGTCTGCCATGTTTTTAAAAAATATGAACTTCTTAAGGCATAAAAATCTGTTTTGTATTCTTAAAAAGAAATATGGTAGGAGGCCTTTGGTAATATTTTAGGCTATAGGGCAGTGGTTTTGTGCTATTCACAGGGTACATTGTCAAATCCTCTGATGCCTACTGTACTACATCACATAGCTTTTAAGAGCTTTTCAAGCCATTTGTGTTGTATTCTGGTTTGTAGCAATGTGATTCCTGGTTCTCACTGCAGTATGGGTTAAGAAAGAAATGGTCTGCAGAACAAATGCTTTAGGCTGTGAAGCTGTGCATGGGACTGAAGGAAAAGGAAAAATACATCGTGTTAAAGTGCTGCTAATGTTACAAACCTTTTACTGGTACTACTTTGGCGTTACAGGATTTAGAAACAAAATTAAGAACGTTTTGTGCACAGTGGATGTGTTCATCCCTCTGATTAAGTATTCAGTTGTTTGGGTTGCTCTGGAGCAGAAACAGGCTAAGATTACATTGGGTACCAACACTGGGATATTTTAATCAGATTTAGGCAAAATTTCAGTGTTGGTGTTAGATATATAAAATATTTTAAAATAACGCCACTTTAATTTATGGTTTAATATTTAAGTTTGTAGCTCCTTTACTTGCTGCATAATTGGTGGCAATGCTATGTACAGCACATTGAAAATAAATTTTATGCTGTAGTGTTTACAGCTGTATTGTTAGATGGATCTTGGGAATTGTTCCAGTTTTTGTTAGTGTGTCAGAAGGATGATTGCTTCAGTTTGTTCTGATTTATTTGAAAGCATTTATGCATCATCTTGTTAGGGTTATGGAAAGTAAGGGAAAAGTTTTACCACATTGTAGAGTCTTGGATTATTGCTAGGACCTTTTAGTTCTATATAGAAAATAATATACTGTGTATAAAGGCATGTTTTTCTGGGTTTGTTGCCGGTCATATAACTTTTAACAATTTTTGCACTGTTAATCTTCATCCTAGAAAGGTATTGCCAGCAGAGATTTGCCATGCTGTTTGTTAGCTCTTAAGGACTGGGCAATGGATGATCTTGAAGAATAAGATAAAAATATTTTCTTGATACTGAAAGCCATGGAGCAAGGATAAATTGAAGTGCAAATTGACTTTTGTCAACACTGTTAGGTTGCTCAGAGACTGAGCTTGTTTCCTGTGAAATTTTTCTGGCATACAGGCTCTGGAGTTGTTGGCAAAAAGCTGAGACTCCCTTTCTAAAGTTCTCTAGGGCTTCATTGTGATTCTGTTGGTACAATGATCAAAATGTGCAATGGTGTGTTGAGTTTGTGTAGCCTTTTACAGGATTAGGTTTTTAACTTTACATACATGAAAAACACGTAGACTTTATGGTTGTCTACAACTTGAATACTCTTATAAATGCCTGTGTTCTACTTGTAACTAAGTAAACTTAGAACATCCTAACCCAGAACGTGGCCATATGCTGCAAGGTTTAATGCTTTAGACATGTTCTGTCAAGCTCATGTATGATCATCAATGGCAAAAACAGTGTAGGCTAAATACGTCATTTCTATCCTGGTTAACATTTCTCTAATCCTTTGTAATAACAGCTCAGAACTTCATCCTGCCCTTGTTTAATTTGTTCTGGAATGGTAAAAATAATACAGTTCAGTAAAAATTCTATCTGTAGGGGTGTTTTTCCCCACCAGAACAAGCTGTGATAACTGAAGGCATTTCAGGGAGAAAATGTGGTACATAAGAAATGACAATTTCAGAGCCATTCCTCTCTAAATATCATGCTTGAGGGGTAGGGCAGCTTGGGGGAATGGGAAGACAAAAAGGTCGATGTACGTACTTGAATGTTATGCATAAAATACAGTCTCTGAATTCTAGATCAGTGTGATTTAATATGTAAATTTGCTATTTAATTATCTTTATTTCTTTGTGTGAATTGGCTGCGTTGTGTCAGGCATAAGGAAGGTTTCATTGTCGTAATTGCTACTAAATGCTCTTCTTGCTTTGTAGCTAACCATGGTGATTTAATGGCAGTGGAGATAGTGCTGCCGCCTTGCCTTCAGAGCATGTTCCCTTCAAGTCAAGGTGAAGGGAAATAGATTTGTTAAAGTTCTCAGTCTGGGCTGAACCTGTCTAGCAAAGTTAATTCAAGCCTTGGGTAATAATTCTTGGTGATACACACTTTACCTGGCCACTACATTATACAGTGTTTGAGAAAGGCCAAGTGGCTCATTCCACTGAATGAAATGTGTTCTCATTATTTGTGGTGTTCTTAAAAATCTGATTCAGTGCAAAAAGACTTCTACTGAGACGCTGCAACAGAAAAGGGAGAACATATGTAAGAATAACTAAATTACTGTACTACAACAGTATATTACATTTCCCCCCATTTATTTACTTCCGCTGTTGAAAACAATACTAACATAGGGAAATGGTAATTTCTTGGAAAATTTGTCATGTGATATTCATAACAGAAGTTCTTAAAAAGAACTAACATTCAGTTTCAAGGGTAGTTGATTAAGAAGTAGTTGAACCCAGGTAAAAAGCTGGGTTAGTGTAGCTTAACCTCCCCTACAACGCAGTCTGTAAGACTTGTTTGAAATAGTTACTGTTTAAGATCAGATGTAAATTTCTTTTCCAGGAGAAGCAGAATTTCTTTGTTAAATTGCTCCAGTGATTTATTACCCTTATTGTTACAAACTGGTGCTTCGTTTCTTGTCTAAATGCTTTCAGTTTAAACTTCCAGCCTTTACAGATTACTGGTTTTCATCCTCTGAATTTCACCAGGCAGAGGTTTGATCTCGGAAATTGCAACTATTTGTAGATTTTTGTATCCTTTCTTCTCTCTCAGTACTTAAAAGTTGATAGGTCAGTGTGAATTCAAGCTGTGACATTTTCTGTTGCATTAGAGAGCACTGTTAACCATAGTTTTAGTGCATAAAAATATAGCTTATACTGAAATGGCGTTGTGTGATTATTTTGTACAAGGCAGTATATCATTCACTTCCGTAAATAAAGGAGCAAAGCAATTGCTAAAATTGCATTTCTTACAACCCCCATGCCAGTATTAAAAGTATGCTAAAATTTAATTGATGTGTATAGTCACTTCTCACTGACACTACCATCAGGGCTTAATACGGATTCCTGCGAGTGCCTTTACATTTTGACAGTGCTTCAAGGCTACTTTTCTCATTTCTTTCCTTTTATTGTGTTTTTCTCTTTTGTTCTGACGATCTTGCCAGGTGTGCAATGAGATTTCTTCATTCTTTTTGTAGAATGGGACCAGTTTGTTATGAACCTCTGTGGAACACATGTTACCTGATGAACTCCAGTCTCATGTACTTTTACAGCTTCAAAACAAGTTCTGTATTGTTGGGTACAATATGAAAAGGAGAAAGACAGTTGGGGAAAACCTGTGGCCTGAAGCTGTTAAGCAGGAAGAGCTCACCATGGAGGGCTCTTCTGCTGGGCTGTGAAGTGTTCTCAGATTAAAAACTATCAGTTTCTAAGACTTGGAGCATGCTTCTGCTGCTGCTCTTTCTCCTTCCTCTTGTGAAAACTGACTTTAGCAGGTAGAGCATACCATCTTTGTGTTTCTACTGTCGGGCCTGTTGAAGGCAGTGCAGCGTTGCCAAGCCGGGTAACTGCTGGCGGGAGACTGCAGCTGCACCAGATGGATCAGTGGAAGTCACTTCTGTAGCTCTGAACACAACTAGGCTCCTGTGAACAGCAGAAAACTGTTAAAAAATTAGCCCATCTTGGAAATAAATGGGAAAAGGCTCTCATATCATATGGGAAGTAATTCATGATGGCATGGACTGCTTAGGAGTCTATTTGTCATAGATTGCTTGTCAAAAATGCACTTTTTGTAAATGAGGGTTATGCTAATGAGTGGCACAGGGGCAACTTTCTGAAATGGAAAAGAGCAGTGGCATATGTGAGGAGCCCTACTTGGGCTACTCAACCAGTAAAGCCGATTAACCCTTAACTCGCCTCGTGGCTCAGGCAAGAGACTCTCAGAGCAGAGTCGTCTGATGATACTTTTCTCAAGGTGGGAAATATCTTCCTGGATTGTGAGCCTTGCAAAGATTGGATAGCAGAAAATGGGAGTAAAGCAGAGAAGAAAACTGGCTGTTGTAGGAGAAGTGGATGACTGAGTTTTAAACACCTGATAAAGAAAGGAGGAATCTTGAGAGACAGGGAGGCAGTGTTTGTTTATTATTGCTGGATGTCAGTGTCCCCTCCCCCCCTTTCTTTCTCCTTCCTCTATGATAAAATTGACCTAATTTCAACTCCTTTTCTCTCTCTCTCTCTCTTTTTTTTTTTTTTTCCCCCCTTCAAGTGAACAGAAATAATGTTTTGAGTACAGGAAGAGCAGGGGAATAATTTTTTTTCCCTTCATCTTTTACACACAGACAAGTGTTTCAAATAACCAGTAGACATCTGAACTCTGTATTTTGTTGTGCTATTGCTGAAAAAATATTGTCTTAGTTACTTGTGTAACATATAGCAATAATTAAAACTTATCAACATTTTAGAAGTTAGTATTACTACCTTGAGTGCAGTGCTTTCTGTGTTTGTTGCAAGTATGAAGAAAGTAATAATTTAGTAAATTCACAGACTCTCTTGATAGTAGCATAGCTGTCCTGCTACTGCTGTGTTCCTGAGCCACAGTTTTAATGGCATTTAACGGAAGTAGATGTTTAGTTATTTCCAACAGTCAGTGGACTTCACTGTTCCCCTTCCTTAGGCTGCTTATAAAATACTAGCCTCAGGCTTGACAGAGCCCACAAGAAGTATTGAGTTACATGACTAATGAGGAACTCACCATTCATTTATTTTCTACTTACTCTGCAGTGAGGGTTAGCCACAATGTCATACATGTTTATGTAGATGTAATTGATGTAAATTGTAATAGTTGTTTTTACAGTTTTGCTCTCATGTGAGGCCTGTGAGTTTTTACTGGGGCGGACAGTATGCTGTAATTTCAAACAAATTGTAAATTTCAAACAATTAAAAAAAATTAAAAAAAATTAAAAAAAATTGTAATTTCAAACAAATTGTAAATTCAAATAAAAATAGAGAACTTGTTTTTCATGGTTTTAATCTTGTAAATTTCTAGACTTGTTTTGGAGGCTCTTGTGGAATCACAAAATAGAAATAATTTGAAGATGGATTTTGTGCAGTTTTATGAAATCTTGTACTTGAATACAGTAAAGTATTTTAATGTGTTAATTTTTCAACTAGAAACGACTGAAAGCGGCTGAAGCAGAAAGTAAATTGAAACAAGTATACATCCCCACCTAGTGAGTATAACAAAGTAATTTTTTTAATAATGTACAGGTAAAATTGAAACAGTGCATTTTGATATTTTCTTAGTTGTCTTTTTACTAGTTACTTTCTAAATATTTGTTGTCTAGAAACAGAATATACAGAGGTATAATCAGAAAATGCTGCAAACTCTTCTCATGAGTGAAACCTTCATACTTAACTCAGCCCATTGTCTTTGACCTGTAAGCTGCCTGTTCTGGAATGGTGGGAAGTTCTATGAAAGGTGATTGAGTGCTACATGGACTGCTCACATGCAAGAAGGGCCCTGTCATTTGAAAAGCAGTTTTTCTGGAATACTTGCTTCCAGATACCTGTAGCACACTACATATTTATGTAAATGCAATATTTCAGAATAGAAGCACTTGTTACTGTAGTTACATAAAATAAAACCAGATACTTTCCCATCACAGTTTCATCTTGCTGATACAGTCTGTTCTTCAGCTAGACACAAGAGATATTCTGGCTGTAAATTAAAGGTAGCATAGAGCCTTATTTTTGAACAGGTCTTATTAAATCTGTTTTCTTCTGAGGGGTTTTAATCTGTTTTTTTAGATTTAAACTTGATGCTACATCTGCTTTTGTTAACATGTAGTTTACAGAAACAAGACAAAAATCTGTCTCTTCCATATTCATAATTTCCTCAAGATTATGAGAAGAGAAAGGATTACAGATGGCATTCTTTTAAGCTTTCTGTGGGTATATTCAGTTTTCATAAATGTGAATTTCCCATTGTTATGTGTGTTTGTATAACAGAAGACTAGAATACCAAATGAAATACTTTGAAAATCCACTGTTGTCTTTTTGATCACTTGTATAAATTGCATACAATAGAGGTTCATTTCTGTATTTCATACAGACTTTTCTCTCTTAAACAGATTTAATATACAAACAGCAGACTATTAAATTCAGTCTTTTATCTCTGAAGAAATATTGTGAGTTTTGAAGCTCTAGTCTCTAATGAATGATGCCTTTTAAAAAAAAGCTGAAAACTCTAGAATGAGTGTTCCCTAACCCTGTTGGGGAAGTCACTGCTTTGGGAGAACTGTAAGATGCTCAGTCTTTAATCCTTTTTCAATTTAGTTTCCTTGGTCCACGTAGACAATTCAGGACTTTTGCCAGTATGCTCACAATAAAGACTAGTTTGGATAAGAAAACCTGTTGTGAAATTTAGGATTTTTGTGTTTATCTTTCTTACTGTCTTTCTTACAAAATCTATAGTTGATGGTAAGAGGTTGGTAAGACTTCTCAAGTCTTTGATAACTGTGCAGTCTGGGGCACTTGTGGGCAAAGATTGCTAACGCTCTATTTCAAGACTTACTTGAAATCTGAGTAGAATTGATTCTCAGACCTGAATACCTTTTGAACTTGATCATAAGGTATTTCCTGTAAAAGCAGGGTTCTTTCTGCAATACCAGAGAGTCCCTTTTAATTCATTGCTTCTCTGGAAGGTAACTAAGCAACAGATCATAATGTGTGAGACTTAATCGGCTCTCCATCCCTTCTCTTGTAGCTGAGCCCAAGGTACTTGATAAAGAGTATCTGGAAATTGTAAAAGTGTCTCTCACTGGATATGGTGAAAAAGGAAAAGGCAGGAGACAGACTTGCTGGCATTTGGAGTAGAGACTTGATACAGCACAGGTTTCTTCAGTTAGTCACTTTATCTACTCTTCAATACATTTAGTCCTACCTAAAGTAACGAATAATCGTCTTAGGAATCAATATATCCAGCCATGCATTGTATTGAGAGTATTGTCAAAGGGGTAATTAACACCCACAGAGTTGGAGCTTTGGAAATATTGTACTTAACCTAGTGAGGAGTGTATTAATTCTCTCTGAATTAACTGACCTGTAAAGTCCTAATTCACTCAAGTATTAGTAGGTAAAATAATTACAATAATAATATAATAACAAAAGAAAAATCCAAAACCAGTTCTTCAACCTTCTCAGAGAAAAAGTAGTTTAGGACAGAATCCAAACAGAACAGCCTGATATTATATAGGCAGGCTTTGCCAGGGCTGTGGGACATTTACATTTGATGCAGTTGGTGGGAAGAGATGTACTTCTGCTTGAGACAGGAGCTGCAGACCCTCTTCTACGGTGGAGAGCCTTGTAGTATTACAGGCAGCGTTACTACTCGTTATACTTCACCCAAAGTCTGCCACACCTTGTAAAGCCTTATCTGTTGACTGGAACCCCTTTCTTAATTTTTGTGCTGTGTCAGGCTTTTGTTAATGCTTGACCCTGAGATTTGGTCTTTTACTAGCTTGCCAAATAGCTTGGACGATGGGAGAGCATTTTACAAAGATCTGTAAATTTGAGTATCAAAGCAGCTCTTTAGATAGCAAGTTTCTTACAGTGCTGACATTACAGAGGAGTATAAAATTAGCCTTGTTGTTTAGAGCAAATTTTACAGATGTTGTCACCACACATCAGAATTCCACAATTAAATTGTTTGTTTTCATGTTGACCAACTAGTTAGTAAAACACCTTTTTTATTATTTATTTAAAGCAACAAACCAAATCCCAATCAAATATCCATCAACAATGGGAAACCTGCTGCAGTCAATGGAGCAATGGGAGCCTCTTATCAGGCACAGGCCTCACTAATAGGTCGGGCTTGTGAAAGCTGCTATAGTAAGTAAATTTATTATTATTTTTTAATAATGTAATTGTTTAGGCCAGCCTTAATATACACTGTTTTCTAAAAATAAATATATGTACTTCTGTTTGCATGCTTAAAATTGCATATTTTCAATGACGTGTGTGGCAGAAATAAATTAAGTTAGAGCTGCCTTCAATATATTTATTAAATGTCAATATTCAAATCCACTTTGTTTTTTTAACAATCAGAAAGATAAATTAGTATGATTGCACTGATATGTTATTCCTTTACCTTCAGAATATTATATTGATTTTTTTTTTTTTTCTCCTGTAAGGCTGCAAAGTTTTTGAGGTTTTTTGGGGTGTTTTTTTTTGTTTCCCCCCTCCTCTGTTGTTGTTGAGGGGACTGGGGGAAGGATGGGGTGTGTTGGTTTTGGGTTTTTTTCTAGTATTTTGTGTGTTTCTGATGCTGTTTGTTGGACTTCTTGAAATAGCAGCCTTCAGCATAGTTTATATGAGAGCAGATATAATAAAATCTAGAAATGGAAAGAATTGAAAAGGCCTACCATACGAGAGTTCATCACTTAGTATTGCTATGGCTGCCTGTCTCTTAAACACCAATTAAATTCATATTTTGCATATAGAAAGTTACAGTTATATACTTTGTTGTTTTCCAGATCAAATTTTTAAAGAAGAGTTTTCTTGTGAAATATGACAAAAAGAAAAGAAAAAAAGTTAAATTA